TTATTTATGGGTAGGCTGCCCATTTGTGTCAAACTTGCAGCATTTTCACAACCTAGAAAAATCCTGTCTTCAAGCTCTTTTGTGTGTGGCATTAATCTGCGTTTGTGTACGTACCGTTGGCTGGATTTGTAGGTTGATGGCAGTGAGCTGGACAGGCTGAGCTTTGGCATGGTTGAGGGAGGAGTGAAGGGCATGTGGGCTGATAGTGGAGTGGAAGATGGTAGCCTGCTGGCTCGGTGTAGAAGGCTGGTGAGGAGCAGGTTTGGGCAGCACGGGGACAGGATGCTGTGACGGCTGAACGGAGGCCGTCTGCAGCAGCTGGCCCGTCGTCCTTTGGGAACCTTGGCTCTGCTGAACCACAAACTGCTGCTGCTGCTTGTGTTGCTGAACCAGAGAATGCGGCTGAATCTGGGTGTATGCTGGAACGAGAACACAAACACTTATTTCTGAAAGTGATTTTATTTCAGCTATGATTATTTGGTAAAACTATTTGGTAAGAAAAAGAACTGTTCATAAATATCCTTACAAAGCAAGTCATTGTCATACAATGAGCATTCTTTATTTCATGCATGCTGACAACTGTCCAAACTCTTGATATCCGGAGAACTGCGCCTCAGGCTCATAAACATTGAAAAATGTAGACGTCTGCACAAAAGAGCTTGTTTTGCAGCGCCTTCACCTGTAAGTCCCTTGTTGACAGGATATAATATTAAGAGCTTGTTGAAAGGTGCATAGAGAGGCCCACTGTTGCAGTGTTGGCCAGACCATTACTCACAAATAGTTTTAAAATGGCTTGTCACCACCTGTCAGTGCTGCTGTGGGTAAAAGGACATCCTGAGCTCATAACTTGCCCCCAAGCCCAAGACACAGCACATCAATCTTGTATTGTGGGAGCATGTGCGAGTGGGAGAGTGTTCTTTGGAAGTAGCCTGAGGCTAGTCTAATATTAGAAATGCCTCAGGAAGAAACATGCAGAGCCAACTATCTATGACACCCTGTATAGAGTTAAGGACGAGTCAGTGGGTAGCAGTATCTCACACACCTCCTTGATTTCTAAGAATTTTATCAACAAAGAAAAAAAAAATCTGATTACTAAAAATCCCCCCCCAAAATGAAGAGTTATCCCTGAAAACTACTAAACAGCAGGTCCTGCTATATAAGCCATGTGAACCTAGAGGTGCATCTGGTTATGTTAATAAACATCACAGTAAATCCCAGAGTGGAAAACTGCCAAGTGCATCAGTGTTTGTCTTAGATCCCCCTCGGCCCCTCCCTCCGCCCCCCTGTTCTTTTCGCATTGTTTCGTGTGGGACAGGCTCCATCTGGTTTCCAAGTTTCCCTGTGAGGCAGTAACCACACTCTGTACCCTGCCGTGGAAAATATAGACATTTCTATCCAGCAGAGTTTGCATGTCATTAGTCCCTTTAATGGTACGAGGACCGCTGAGAAGAGTTTTCATTTTCACATGGTGAGACACAGTGGAACCCACTGACAGAAAATTTGGTTAGCTGTGGCGTCGATGAAAACCTTCAGTTAATATTTATTATGTTAAGAGAAGGATAAATATAAGATGTGGATGGGTGGATAAATTTAGCCAGCTAGATGCTAACCATTAAAGGGAATTAAAAAAAACAAACTTTAAAAAACAGACCGTGGAAAATTATATCCATCAACTCAACAACTATGCCCATGGGTGGGAAAAAGAAATGAGTGGAGACATGCTTTTTTTGTCAACTCAAGCATCACAGCCCCAAAGCCTTTCATTTAAAGCATATTTTTAATGTAAAGAGTCTGCGTGGTAGAAGAGAATAAAAACGTAAAGTTTTGTGTTGGTCATGGACACGGCAAACAAAAGTCCACTCATTCCCATTTTAGCAATTTTAATTTACTAAATAAAGTTTACTCAACTGTCTTCTTGTCTGAGACAGCCAAAATAAATAAGTGTAGAAAAGCAAAGTTAACAGTCTACAACAACTCTCCAACAAGTCTCCCAAAAATATCTGATCAGGCCTCCTGTAAGGGTTCATAAAGTGTGAAAACTACAGATAAGCGGAGCACAAGAATAGATCATGAGAGTGTCCTAATCATTAATTGCCATTCAAGCCAGAGCTCTGAATCATGTCCAGTTTTTACAGCCTTCCTGCTGACAAAGACATTACACACTGCCGGCCAAAACCACCCCAAAGATGGTTAAGCCAAGGAGCCACACTGACGCGTTTCTTTAAGTTAAAACAGTAGCTTTTTAAAAACACACACCAAATGTGAAACAATTGAGACAAAGCTGAATGGGAATGGTTTGAGAGTTTAGGTTTTTTTTGATGGGTTATTATGCTGTGGTTTTGCTGGTCAGGCCTGTGTGAGGTCAAATTGGGCTGTATTCAGCACATGAGCTAAAATGAGTCTGACACCCCTGCTCTACATGATGATTGCGAGCATCAAATTCCATAGAAATCCATTTTTTTAAAGACACAAACCCTGTTTTAGTGCAGCCTTATGGTTGCACTAAAATAAAAATAAACCTACTGACTGTGGTGATTCTTAATCTCCTGGATAACATGAACATTTGTTCTGAACTCAAATATTTTTTCAAACTGGATTTTCTACAAAGTGGTAGAATGACGATGATGATAGACATGCTACATAAAATCATACTGTGTAAATACCAAGTAAATGGACCAGAAAATGAGATTGTTTTGAATTGATTTTAACATCGGACATCTTCCCACAGCAGAAACATGAGTTTGTATGAGCACTGTGGTGTAACATCCACTGATGTTACAAAATAGTGTAATAATTTTAAGACAGCTCTGGCTGTGAAGTCAACCTACTACCTCCAAACACCACAAGTTGTCAAGAAAAGCAAGTTTGTTGCTGCATCTGCTATTTTACAATGTTCATCCAAAGTTATGAGGGAGCCACAGTCTGCTGTTCTTAGTCTTGAATGTAGCAAGAAGGCGGCTACTCAAAGTTAGTGCTTGTTGTTGTTGAGTTCAACTGATCGTTGGGTATTGGAGACTGAGTATAATTCTGTCATTACAAACTGACCATCTTAAGATATAAAACAGTCAGGAAAGGACCAATTACAGTAGCAGAGCCTGCTACATGTATGTCTGTCTTTAACTTGTTGGTTGCCATATTCTATAGTTAACAAATGGTGTGCACATTTACCTATTTTATTAATGATTATTCTATTGTAATGTGATCAAAGAACAAACAGCAGCAGAAAGCTCCCTTGCGGCGGTTAAACTGCGTCAAACTTGCAGTATCAAGAGACTCTCAGCCTTCTGTAAGGGAGGAGGAGGGGGATTTCTGAATCAGTACACACCAGATACAATCAGCCCCTTCGCATGAATCCTGACATCTTTCTCAAGCCTCTAATGAGTAACAGAAAGAGGTCTTGAAAGAAGAGGAAGATTTGGAAATTCGTTTAAATGTTATTCCCCCTCAAGGTCTTAAGATTAAGGACTGGAATTACTCAGGCACCCCACACCAATATATACATACAAATCATATAGTCTACAGTATGCGGAAGCCCACTCCCTCCGCCCCCAATGTTGTGAATGTTTGTAGAGTTCTTACTCTGTGTATTGCCGTGCAATGTCCTGAAATTGAGGACAGTATGCATTCCTTCCAGCTTTTGCAGCACCAGGCCCTGGAAAACCCCAGAGTTTCCACATTTTCACTGACTCCTGCTTTGGCTTACCATCTTGAAAAATATTGACCAACAACACCACAGCAACAGTAGACCTTGAGTCACCTTTCCTAATTTTAATACAATTCCAAATAAGGATTGAAGATTGTTTATCAAGGAAAATTAGCTCCATGAATCTGGTTCTCAACTGGCTTCAAAACTTACAGTACAGTAAAGGTTTTATACATAAGTACACCTTAAAAAAAGAAAAAAGTTTTCATCTTTCCAGTTTTTTAGTGCTGATGGGGTTTCCCTGCTGTGGTTTTATAGTGTGGTGCCGGCTCTTTGTTGCTGAGAGAAGGTGATGACAGACATACACTTGCTGCATCAAGCCAGACGGCCTAACATTTGCTTCCTCCTCAATTCCCATGAATGTGAATCTGACAAACTCTCAACGTAACCACAATTAATCAATTTGTTCTGTGCTGAGTTAGATTTAACACAGATTTGGTAGAAATGAGACACGTCAGGTGTTTGTTTTTTCTTAAGATTCTATTTGTGGTGATAACAAGGGTACACGAATAGGAGTCTTTTGATGGGAGGTGCACGTCCGTTTTGTTAAATGAATTATAGAGTAATACAATATATACTTTGTGACTATAATTGGCACAAATGAGCTGACACTTTTGTGAGTGGATCTATTCCAACTGCATCTTTTAGTCTTTGTCACACATGAAACTCTTTTCCGGCCTGCTGCAGGTTCTGGTTGGAGTGGCCCTCCAGAGCAGGAAGAGGACTCAAAACCTGGAGTTTGTCTGACTGTGAGATACAGCTGACAGGTGGACTATCTCCACAAGAGCAAAATGGGTGAAAGCCCGGAATGAAGACCATAGAGGACCAGGGCAAGCTGCTAAGCTTGTGTAACCTAAAGTTTATGTTTGGGTAATACATACTAACACATGCTGCGCACACCAACCATTTAACTGCATCTATTATCTCTTTCTTTTTCACTTTGGGAGGCTGTAAGGCATCCTTCACATGAATTATTAACCCTACTTATTAGGGCTGAGCCATATTATACCGTTCACGGTAATACCGGTATAATGTTGGGCAACGATAAGAAAATGAAATATCGCGATAGAATATGGGTCAAACGCGCATGCGCAGTGCCTTTGTTTACATACGCACATGGCGGCGACGCAGAATGAGAAGGGCGAAAGCAGATCGTTGAATGAAACAGATGAACCAGAATTGGTTTGTAAAAATGCTGCAACTTCAGTGGTGTGGAACTGGTTTAGCTTTCATCCATCAGATACACAACAAAGCACTATTTTTGGTAGAGCATGCTAGCGGGCCGTCGTTATTACTGTGTTTTTTGGAAAATACGGCACACTTAAAATCAATCCTTTGATTTTTCTGAAAATCGACAGTGCCCCTTATAATCCTGTGAGCCTTATGTATGAATTCTGGTTGTGTTTACTGACCTCGAAACGATTTTATGTGCACGGCGCTCGAAAATCTGTCAAATGATTTAGTATGACTTTGCTAAGCTACGAACCCGCAACGCTTGATGGATTGTCGGAGCATTACGGCTATCGTAGTCAGGAGCCTCGCGGAGTGATACGTACTGTGCTTCAACATAATATTACCGTATTGTGTGTGTATAACCTCTTTTTAAGTTTTGTGTATATTATACATGGTTATGCTGAGGATATGTCGGCCAATTTCCACTGGAAATGCCTTTTGGTTAAACTGTCAGCAAGGAATTTGCATTTGCACTGTTAAATTTTTATATAACTTAAAAAACAGCTGCTTGTTTAAGTGAAAACACATTGATTTTTTTTTTTTGCACTAATAAAGTTGTGGAGTTGTAAAGTATTTTGTCTAGTGTCAATTATATCGTTATCACAAATTTTCAAATGTATATCGTGATAAATATTTTTGGTCATATTACCCTGCTCTACTACTTATGAATCCATTTATCAATCTGAAATTATGATGGATATTTTTCACCACTTGTTTGGCCGGGAGTGTCCTGTTTAAAACAAAAATCACTGCAAATATGCAATATTGTATGTACTGTATTCTTTTTTGAAACATAAAAAAATAATTAAAGCAAGGTTATTGATGTAATTATTCCTTTTACTTGTGCAAAAACCATAATTACCATATTACACTTCTAAACACTTCTAAAGTCTGCAAGCCTCCTGCATAAATTCACCACCCATTTTGTTAGGTGAATTTGGGCTAAACGTCTAATATCAGTCAATGTCTGTGTAGTAACTAGCAACAAAGTTAGTAACATTGCAACGTTATAGGTGGTTCATTTGCCAAGTGAAACTATTAATAATTGATATCATGAATGTGGACTGTGCAAAACCACTAGCTGAGTTCATATCTAAATTTTCCTGGTGCGTAATAGCAATGAGCTACTTTTGAAATGCAACAGTTAAGTGTCATAATTTTATTAAGACTAAAATCACTAAAATTGCTGATCAATTACATAAAATGCTACGTAGCAATTACCTCTACAATCTTTCATGAACCAAAACCATCCTCAGGGGGTGAAATTACCCACCAACAACATGGAGCAAAATCTCTGGTTTCCTGCAGCTAAAAGTAATGGCTGCTCCCTTCTATTACCAATTTTACCCTCTAAAGCAAAGTGCATCTTGACCCAGCCACAGTCAAGTTGAATCCAAGCTTTTATCCTAATCCGAATCCCATCAGCCAGCCACGCTGCCTCTTCTCTTCCTGATCCACAGAGTAATAACTCCCCAGCATCTCATGTGCACACCTGTCCCTCGTGGGCTGCTGCTATGGCAACCCATGGTAATTTTTTCCCCCCAGACAGCATGCTGCCAGATTTTCAGCTTCCATCCTCCCTTTCATTTTATGCGAATCTATTACTGAAACAAAGCAAGACACAGTTGTGCACCGACGTGCACAGATAATCCCCACCTCCCCCTCTCTTCACAAACACACAAGCCCAAGTGCGCACACACACACAGACACACACACACACACACACACACACAACACCAACCATAAATGTAAAGAGTGTTACAGCCATGCAGTCATACAGACATAAATATGGCACATGCACAGACAGACAAATTATTTCGCAAGATGTGATTTCCTATGAGGACCCTCTTTAAAATGCATCTAAAGGTTACTTATCATGCAAACAAATGGGACTTAATTTGACGTAATCAGCTTCTGCTGCTAGAACATTCACAACCATTCACGCTAAAAAGGGGAGAAAAAAACATTAAAAAAAAAAAACTAAAAAAAAAACAGCTGCTGACTTTCAATTACACAATAAGTGGTTTAAAAACACTCTTGCATGGCAGTGTGCCTTTCACAGCTTCTAATTCACAAAGCAGCTAGACTGTTCCAGACACAAAACCAACACGCTGTCTCTAATAGAGCTGGTTTCACCCATTTAGTGAGTGAATGGATTTGTGAAGCAGGCCTCGACAAGTCATGGCAACAGCCAAGAAAAAGCTTTCAAACATCCATGTGTGAAATGTCTTTTCATCTAATCTCACTATAAACACTAGAGCACAGCTCTGTATATGTATATAAGACAGCTGTCACAAAGCCAAAATCTTTCTTGAGGTTTGAAATGTACATCTGATACATAACAGAAGCATGCAGCCGCCGGCAAACAGTTTGTCAGTTTCCTTTTTCTGTCCACAAAAATGAAACCATAACTTCGCTGCAGTTTTAGAGCTTACATGCTCTGTGGACCACATGTTTTCAGAGGAAAACATTGGTGCATTCAGAACACATAGCATGAGCAGCACAAGAAGTTTTATCTAAGATGTGCTCAGAAACAGCATTTAAAATACACTAAGATTAAAGATTTTACTGGCTATAAGACAATTTGATTGAAGAAACACAGAAGAGGAAACTCAGTGGAGACACTAGGATTCATGCTCTTGTGACCACCAATTTCTGCTCTGCATAATTTCATGGCAATCCAGTCGGGCTGCTGATATAATTTAGTCAGAATCAAAGCAGTGACCTGACAAACATTGGTTTATAAGACTGCTTTTAAGTTGCTACAATACATGATTAGGGACATTAAAATGTAATCTGTTATGCTACAGTGTTGCTTGCACATGTTGGTTAGATTGTCTAGAGTGTATGGCAGTGTCACCACTGCCTTTAGAAGAGAGTTTAATGCCAGATGCCCTCCCTGACATAGCCCTCCTTCTCCTGGCCTTGAACTTCCACATGTTAAATGTGTTTTAACAACTACACTGTGGAGCCACAAGTTTTAACTTGTATTAAGTGGACCCAGACAAAACTCCACACAGTAGGGCCCTGTCAAGGTTTCAACCCAGGACACTCTTGCTGTGAGGAAATGGTGCCATCAATTGAACCACAATGCTGCCATTTAATACCAACACTCATATTCAACAAGATCTAGTAAGCACATCTTGATATCTTACACAGAGTTTATTGCTGTTTTTTAAGACTTTGTGTTGCAAACAATTTGGCAAGCGCACAAAGCATTAGGTTTTAAACACATTAAGGCTGCATGTATCAATAAATATTGGTTGAGCTGCAGACAATCTTCTTGATTAAAAAGAGTGACAGCAGTAAGTAAAACAAGAAAAGTATTACTTCCTGTACTTTTAAAGATCAAACAAAACAACCTGTTAACCAACCATTTGTTTTGGGTTTGTTATTTGCATCACCAATATCCATCATTATTATTTTTTTCTCTCACTTGTGTGAGAGACATTTCTTTAATGGATGGGATTTAATGTTGTGGATATGCAAACTTCTCTTACCTGGAGCAAGCAGAGGCTGAGCATTCACAGCGGTGACACTGCGGCTCATGTTTATAGCTCGGACTTCTGTGACTGCTGCACTGTCCCCCTTCTTCCCTCCTTCAGAGGGACTGTCTAAGGAGCTGGTCTTCCCCCCTGCTGAGGCCTGGGTACCTTGACTTGGGTTTTTGATCAGTGACGCAGGCTGGATAGGCACAGGGGCCTGCTTCAGACTGAGAGCCTGTGGCATCTGAGTCTGAGAGGAGGATGTTGTCGCCCCCTGCTGGCCACGGATGGCCAGATTCTGTACCTGATTCTTAAGACAAAATACAAAAAGAGAGACAAGATTCACAAATGGCTTAAGCTGTGGATTTTTTGACTATGTTCATAAGAATTTTATTTGTAAAATGCTGGAAATTCATTTAAAGCTCGTAAGTTTAATGTTTATTTTTATGGATTACTGCTTTGCTACATATGTGTAAAATGTATAAAGTTATATTTACGAGAGGGAGCTGGAAAAGATGTTAAGACGAGATAAAAGACTGCTCTTTTATTATTAGTGATAATATACGTTCCAGCAATATTACCTGTGAGGAGGCCTGCGTAGAGCTGTCTGACTGCACAGCCGTCACAGTGGCAGCTGGGGTAAAGATGAGCTGTGGGGACAGAGGAACAGCACGACCCAGGCTCCTCGCTACCTGTACCTGGGCCTGGAAAGTATGGCACACATTAAAAAAAGGGGGAACTAACATAGGAGAAGCAAACTGTAAACTAAAATTACTCTCCTGTGTTATTACTGATCATATTCCCCCACCAACTAGTGAAACTGCAATTTTAATGATGACAAAGACTTATATCACCAAATCAGTATCTAACTACCTGTGAAAACTGGCTCAGTACCCAGGGCATGGTGTTGAATAATGGCCATAACCATTTTGACCTGATGAAAGCCAGAGGCCAAACATGCACCTATGAAATAGGTGTAGGTAAAGCTGTGCCAGAAGCATCCATACTGCTTTAGAAAATATGACTCAGTACCTTGGACATGACACTGAATAAGGGCCACAGGCTCCCAATAAATGTTAAAACACACTATTTACAAAAGTATTTACAAAAACTTAACAAGACAGAAGATCATTTAATCATGGGGTGCTGCATGTGTATATTCAGTTAGTTTTTAACCTCGGGTGTATGATAAGACAAAACAGGAAACTAAAGAAAATATTTTGGGACACTGATACGAGTAAATGTAGCACCAGGAAACTGTACTCGAAATAAAGTCCATGACTAAACTGACATGCAGTTTGCTTCCTGCCGCAATCATCACAGAC